AGAGGGGAGGCAGTCAGGGTGGGTGGTTGGTGTGCTGATGGTTGGAGAATGAAACTATTGTAACATCTGGCTGTCCTGGTCCTGATGCTGCTAAACCTCTTTCCAGAGGGCAGCAGGGAGCACAGTGCATGATGGGGGTGGGCGGAGTCTCTGATGATGTAATGGACTCTGCTGAGACAGCATCTGTGCTCAACTTCCTGGATGGATGGAAGAGAAGTCCTGGAAGGAAGCAGGAAGCTCAGACACTGCTGAGACTGTTTAACCAGTGCTGATGTGTTTGGTGACCAGTCTAACTTCTTAGTTATCTGTACCCCTAGAAAGTTGACACTGCTGACTACCTCCACAGCTCTGTTGTCAGTGATTAGTTGTGAATGACTGGACTGTTTTGTCCTGAAGTTGATGATCAAGTTCTTGGTCTTCTTGACATTCAGGATTGTTGACACTGCACCGGTCCTCTATAGGACAGATCTGTGTTGTCCATAATGAGACCCACCACTGTTGTGTCATTTGCGTTCCTAATCATGCGATTAGAGGAAGTTGCAGCGCTGCAGTCATGTGTCAGCAGCGTGAAAAGCAGCGGGCTCAGTAAACAATGGAGAGACAGGTGGAGTTGAAGATGCTGTTTCCCACTCTCACAGAGTGAGTTCTGTCATTGAGGAAGACCAGCAGCCAGATACACATGGGGGTGTTGATACCTGTGGGAGGGGTCAGTTTTTTCACCACCTCCTGGGGGATGATCAACCAACAAACAGCATTCATACGTGACTGTTCTCGTAAAGCTCAGGTAACGAGCAGAGGACATCGCTCTGTGGAGCGGTTTGGCCAGTACAAAGACTGATGTGAAAGGGACTCTACAAGGACTTCATTATTAAGGGAGTGAATGCAGAGAGCAGGTGTCATCAAAACATGTGATGGTGACAGATTTGAAACATGATGGAACAACAGTCTGCCACAGCGAGGTGTTAAAGGTGTCTGCAAGGACGTGTGCTAGCTGGTCAGCACACTCTCTGAGGACTCGTCCTTGAATGTTGTCCTGCTGCCTTTCATACACTCTCCTCAGAGTTTTACAGACATCAGTCACTCTGAGATTCAGTGTTTTCTCATCAGGGTGAAGACTGTCTGTTATTGCAGGGTTTTGTTGTTGGTTGAAAATGTACAGAGAAATTTGTTGACATCATTGAGACGGTGTGTGTTGTTGTCACACATACTTGCTTCTTATATGAAAACTCTTAATTTAAGATAAAACTTAATTAATTTACTTATAATGAAATTCAAATACAGTTATTTCTGTAGGTTCTCCATTCTTCAGTTTATATCATATCAAACTTGTGATTCCATATAGTAATTAATTTGTTGACTCTGTGTAATCACCCACATGCTATAACAAAAAAAAAACATAAAAAGGTACTTTTGTCTTCTCTGTCTTTGTTTCTTTTTAATTGCAGCTTTCTGGAAACATCAGTCAAGCCCAGAAAGAGAAACAGAACATGAAGAGTGAAATAGAGAGACTGAACAATGAGCTCACCTCCAGAAAACAACAGGTTCATCTTTTATACACTAACTTCCTGCATTTACATGACTGCCATGTTTAATCAGATCTCTTTCTCTGGTGATCGAAACACTCTGAAGAAAAATTCAGAAATTCTGATTTTATATAATTCATTGAAAATAAGCAGAGCTGTACTGATTATATTTTTTTAGGCTGATTTATCTGCTGTTTGCAGTGATGCTGTGATTAACTGTCATTTATTGACAACAATCTTTGTTCTGTTGTATTCTCCGTGCTTGAAGGTGTTTATTTTCATTTATTTTCCAGGCGGTGCCTCATAGATTTGAAACATAAATTCAGGAACTCGTCTATAAATGTTTTTGTAGTTGCTGTAGGACATAACTGAACAGCAAAATGACCGAAGAACGTGGCAACATCGTTCTTTATGTTTTATTTAGGAATATGTTGATCTCCAACTATTTGTCACTGAACAGACGTGTTCCTTAAACATGATGATGTTGATCAAGGATCTGACCTCACAGCCCATTGTTCCTTCAGTGGTGCTCGTATTAGTCATTATGCAAATGTACTGTTTATAAGATTTGGGGAAACCTGCAGTCAGCTGAGACTGAAGAAGTCACTTGGATGAGTGACAAAAGGTTTCTCCCACTGAAAACTTACCTGGATGATTGAGCATGCGTAGGGACGATGAAACAAAGGCAAAAGACAAAAAATGCTTTTATGTTTTTACATTTAATTCTGACACTGATGCTTTATCGACCAACACAAGACACCAAAAACCCTTTAGTGACACTGAAATCCAGCTGCACTCAAGTAAAAGCTAAAAAAAACTCAATATTTTAATCTTTTCTTTATTTTCTAAATCAGACTTGATAAATGTTATATTTTGTGCATTTATCTTTTTAACCAAAAATCACTTTTATTTTGGGAGACACGAGATTCAAACTCAAATATTTCCTTACGATCTTCATTTATTTGCTTTTTTTATCAGCCAACTTATATTTACATAATACAGCTTTAATTCAGAGCTTTAATGTCACTCTGGTTGTGTTTCCATTGTTGTGTCTGAAACATGAACATTTCTTCCTTCTTCTCTTTCTTTATGTAACATTTCACATGAATACTGAAATCATCAATCAGCTCCAGCAGGAGAAAGACAAAGCAAAGGACCTGAAGAAGCAGCTGGAGGACAAAAATCGTGAGGTTTGTGTTTCCATTATAAACATTCAGAATTTACTGACCCAACTCTCTTTATCTCTGTATCGTAAAGATTTATGAAGCAAACTTTAGATATTAGTTTGTTTATTTGACACCAAAAGTCTATAAAAGTAACTGTTTCTATATATTGAACAAGATTATAATTCATGTTTACATCCAAAGAAAGTGCTGACATGCAGAAACTCATCATCTTCCTTTTTTCTTTTATATCAACACTGTTAATTTAAAATACTCAATTAATTATGAACTAATAATGAAATGCAAATGAATGTGTTTCTTTGGGATCGTCCTTTTGTAATTTGTATCATAGCAGGCTCTTAATTCTATATAGAACTTAATTTATTATTTTTTATGTATGAATGTGTGATTGTATTGTGTAATCACACACATGTGTGTTTCCTTCCATACTTGCAGTTTCTTTATCATTGACCACAAAAGCACTTATAAATCCACCTTATACACATTTTTCAGATCGTCCCACAACACTTCATGTACAGTCAGTTTTAATAAGTGGACTTGCAAAACATCTCTTGTCTTGGATGATCAGCAGACACGAGCAAACTTTATGACACAGTTTACAAGTAGCTCTGGCAGCAGGACACTGATGAAGGTTAGCTAGATGACTGTTTGAACCACACCTGAAACAGTTCTTAGATGATTTTGTAGCATGAAACTCAGACAAACTATGGACTTAGTTTGTTGAACTGCAGATTCAGTTTGTGTTGCCAGTGTAGCAGCTTTATGCAGAGACAAATCAGATTCAAGCAAGAGTCTTTCTGCTATGCTGGAGCTAAACACACGTTCAACTAGCTGATTATTTCTTCTGTTCTGTAATCAAACTCACAAGCAGGGTGACACAAGCTGGCCACATACTGAATGTCTCATGTGAAGCGTGTGTTCACTTTCTGAAAGCTTGTCTTCCCACAACAACATTTACTTTAAATAAAAAGTGTTGTTTTAGGGCAGCAATAGCAGAGGCAAAAGTGTCACCTGTATTTGGAAGTGAGTAGAAATTTCTTTGTCTTTCTGTTTCTAAGCAGTGAAGTAAAGCAGCTCTTTTTTGTGCTTCAGGCATTACCTGTTGGATTGATGTACGTTTGCAGTCACTCGTTGCCAAAATGTAATAGTGGCTGATAATGAAACGTCCTCAACAAGGAACAAGTGCCTTTGGATGAATGCAGCGCATAAACACACATGTAACGGCACATTCAGCTATGCAGGTTTATCATTCTCCTGCATTATTATGACACCACCATCTAGTGGTGCAGTTTGGTATATAACATTACAGGACAACATGGATGAAGCTGCAAACAAAGTTTGTGTCCTACAGACCAATAAAAAGAAAAGAAAAGACTATATGTAATTTTATGCACAAGACAAAAGCATAAAGTACTAAAAAAATATTGTTTCCCTGTTAAAATCTGTGATGTTTCTTCCTTGTGTCTGGAGCTGGAAAATAAACTCAAGAATGAGAAAAAGAGGAACGATGAAAAAAGGGAAACATTCAAAGAGATGTTTTTATGTTTTTACGTTTAATTCTGAAACTTATGCTGTTAAACTTTACCAACAAACAAAAAAACACAAAAAACCTTTTAGTGACACAGAAATCCAGCTGCACTCAAGTAAAAGATAAACTGTGAAGAGTTGCTCTTTTTTTCATCAATCACATTTTATACATGTTATTGTGTGTGTGTGTGTGTGTGTGTGTGTGTGTGTGTGTGCGTTTTCTTTATTGTTTTGTTTTTTTCTACTTTTATTTTGGGAAACTACATTCAAAATCACATATATCCTTTGGACCTTCATTTATTTGAATTATTTAAAAATAAAGCATTTAAATAAATACATTTTTTCTTCATTTCTTATTTGTATGAACCAACTTATATTTACATAATGTAACTGTGACTAGTTGTGTGTGTTATCATGATTGTCTTAAACATCAGCTTTTCTTTCTTCTGCTCTTTCTTCGTGTAACATTTCACATGAATACAAAAATCATCAATCAGCTCCAGCAGGAGAAAGAAAAAGCAGAGAAACTGAAGAATCAGTTCAAATCCAAATGTCACGAGGTTTGTTCTTCTATTATAAACATTCTTAATTTGCTGACCAAACTCTGTTTATCTCTGTATTGCAAACAGTAAGGAAGGAAACTTAAGAAATAATTTTGTTTATTAGATGTCTGTTAAAATATTTCTATATATAAACATGTTGCTCACAGTGTGAAGCTTCAATCATTTTGTCACTTTTATCAACAAAGTGCTGCAGAAACATCAACATCTGTCTGCCTTTATTTCTCACAGATGATCAACTCTGAGAAGGATGAAGTCATTAAGACGCTGATGGAAACATTTCCTACCCTGGAATCAAAGGTCAGTGAAAGCATCAGTGAGACAGCAGAGGTAAACATGGACATATGTGATGCTGTCATCCACTTATATTCCTGCAGTTTTGTCCAGCAGCAGTTTCTGTGTCATTAACCAAACACAACTTTGAAATCCTACCACTGCAAGATTGTTGACATCATCCCACAACACTTAATGTTGTTAGCATCATGCTACATCAGCTCCCTTATATTTACATCATACAGCTTTAATGTGACTCTGGTTGTGT